TGATGGCTGACTCTGGAAGGTGGGAGGAAGTTCAAAGGTCTTTTAGGAACAATAGCTGAGAGATGGATTTCCTTAGAACATACCTTGAGGTAAGGGGAATGCAAACTCTCCCTCTGAAGATGCAAGGGGCGGGGAACAGCTGGAGAGTGGAAAGCCAACAATAGCTGCCCTTATGTAACCCACACACCTAGTGTGGTTCACTGTCCCATGCAATGGCACTTAGACCACTTACAGCGAGAGAGAAGGACGAGGGAGCTCTACAGCCTAAGCCAAGAGCCAGCTGGCTTTATAACTCAAGCCTTAGAGGCTTCTACACTAAACTTCCCAGGTTCAAATCTGCCCAATGGCAGTTTTCGTGTTCCCCAGTTGCCCTGAACTGTGACACCAGCCACTGTCAGAGGTGGATGAAGTGGGTTAACTGCCACAGAAGAGGGCAGTTTTAAAGAGGCCCTCACCCTTCATCTGCTGGGCCTGAGAACGTGTCCTGTCTTGTGGCCAGACGAAGGAACGGAAGTGGTCTTATTCTCGCCTCCCCCCCCACATGGTTCACGCTTGGCAGCCCGGGCCTTGCACGGGGTTTAGTGGATAGCTGGAGCAAAAGGCCTGGCCCACAGCGAGGAAGGGGAAGGGAGTCGCTGAACACTGCCCTCTGGAAGACTCCGGTGTTTGGCATAAATAGCACAGGGCGCAAAGCTCCTCGTGTCTCTCCCTAGCGGTGTGGAGGCCACCATTCGGCAGGTTCTGATGTGCTGTCTTGGTTTGGCCTTTTTGGTGACTTGTGTGCACCTTTTTCTAGAAACCCTTCTAGCTTTGGGTCTCCTGGAGTTCACAGTCCTCTCCTTATCTCTCTGTTTATGCCCCTAGGCCGCCTTTGCACTCCAAGACCATATCTGCACTCGCAGCTTCTTGCGCCAGTAATATGCAAATGAGGCTAAGCGTGGAATATCGCCGAGCCTCATTTGCATACCTAATGAGCCGCCATTTTTGCAGAAGAGGCTCTTGCACCAGAAGGAGCTGTCTACACTGCCCCTTCTCGCACAAGGAAAACCCCTTTGTGTAGACATAGCCCAAGAGGTGTAGGGTAGGCTGGGTTTACTGCATATTAGCTAGCCCGGGTCACTCATTTAGTAAATAAGCCCTTTTTGCCAAGGCTAGGGGCACCCCTGTGGTACCCCCTGTCTGAGCCCAGCCTTGGGAGCTAACCAGCACCTTCTGAAAGGCTGCTCAGACAAGCTGTGCTGTAGCACCTGCGAGGCTGCTCTGGACTGAAGGGTGTGAGGTCACCTCACACTGTAACCGTACCACACGCGCCATTGTACACTGAAAGAGTTTGCCTCAACGGCCTAGACTTAATCAGTGGGATCCCAAGGCCTCCTGTCACCCCCTTCCCTGCCATCTTTCCCCTCCGGCTTTGCTCTCTCTCTGCACTGGCGAAAGCACCTAGGCCCCAAGCTGTGGAGGGTGCGTTGGTCGGCCCTGACGGCTCCCTGGCTGTGTGCCCACCCGCAGCGTGGAGGCCGCAGGCTGTGGCTGGGCCGATGCTCAGCCGCAGAGCAAATGTTGTGCAATAGTTCAGGGCAAGGGGTGGCTGAGGCTCGCTGTTTGCTGAGCGCGGGGCAGGCCTGGGCGGTGAGGTAG